CATTACTTTCGAAGTGGGTATCGCCTCGTCTATCGCGGCAACTTCTTGACTCCTTCTCCTACTGTTCTAATACGGCGCATCTTTTCCTTCTTGAATATTTTTCTGCTATCTCGACTTCTGGATTACTGGTAAAGAAGATCACCGAAGCGTTGTAGGAGAAATTCCTTGGTACCGCTTTGCCTCACCTTTTCGTTCAGCGTACAGCTGTACAAGTTCAGATACGCGTGATAGATCGCCTGGTGTCGTCAGCGTTAGATCGCATATGGCTACCGAAAGAACCAGAAAGTTACATGGATATCCTCTGTGATGCACGCTCACTTCTCTACCAGAGCGATGGTTGCATGGCGGTACTTTACCTAATTTTGACTGAATGGTTGATTTTCGTGATAACTCTTGTGATTATTCAGCATATAGTGATGCTATTTATATCGTTCGGCTTTCGATTTTATGCGGCTTATCCGGAATCCCCCAAAAAGGACGACTTTATGAAGTTCGTAACCGCATGACAAGGGTGATTTGTCCTGACTTCAAAACTGTTCTTAGCCTTGCTATTTAGGGCTATTCTTGCTAATTTGTACATCACAATACCATCGATCATCGATCCCGTAAAGCAATTTCAGCTTTCACTCCGTGCTATATATGTGTGTCTGCTAGCTAATTCTTTGCCTAAGGTATTGTTTCTTAGAAGGTTTCCCTGTTAACTCAATTTGACGCTGTGGTAGTGGGAGAGGGCAGTTGGCAAGACTATATCACTCCCATTGTATACTTGCGTGCTCCCTCACAGTCACAGTCAATACTTGCGGATTATTATCTCGTTAGGAGTGTGCACGGAAGCAGAAAACATGTGTGATCTGGTCTCCCGGAGCCCTCTCTGCCATCAACACTAGCCCTTTTAGATCTCAAGGGTACTTTATTTCAGATAGAACAGCAGGTTAAATTCACCTTGGAAACTCTCGATTCACTTACAGTGCCGTCAACTCAGTTCATAGAATTGCTCACCCATCTTCTTTCTGTACTTGTTTTTGTTCCGGATATTCCAAAGAAGCCTATGCTGCACATGTTTAACGCGGTTATCAATCTTATCGAAAGGTTGGTGTCTGAGGATTTTGTACTTACAATAGCTGGTGTAGTACAGTACATCCGAGTAAAGTACAGTAAGCAACAGATCATTTTTCACTGCGGTTCTGCCACATTGAATCGTTTTGGTCGTGCTGCGGACAGCTCGCGCGCGACACGCCTCCTTCGCCATTCTGGTCGTGACTCGGATGTGTTGACCTATACCTGACAGCACCGAATAATGTAGAGCAGTTGACCAGGTTCCCTTTTCACAATTGATCGCCCAGGAGGAAATGGCCTGCCGCTCACGAGACGCTTCACGGTGATGCATGGATTTTGTGTTTACACTACCTCTGGGCAGTGTCTCGGCCAAGCTTCCGGATGAGATTCGGCGACGTCGATTCGAATGATCTGTATTACGGGTCGAGTGAAACGTATCTGTAAGTGAAAACCACTATGTTTGATCTGAAA